TCGCCATGTTCTTGACATCCTTGGGAACATTTGTATACAATACGTTATTCAAAATTGCTGTCAGAACTATGAATGCCACCCGTGACATTTTGAGGCTGGATGTGTCGTCTCTGCTCAACAGGCACCTCTACTGCTGGTACTCTTCCACAGCTGCTGAAGACTTTATCCCACAAACTCAGATTCTCCAATTGATTCAACACTCTGGTTTTATCTTCGTACAATGTTATGTCTTTGTTCATCTGTCGAACCCGCTCCCCAAATTCCTCCAACTTGCTTCTGTACTCGTCTAAGGACATTGTAACACTGATTCAGAGGTCAAGTCTGAATGGTGGTAGTGGTAGCTACGCATGCGCACAGCTGATATAAGCTATTGGGCAGATTCGGCAAACGTTCTTTGAGACACATCCAGTATCCATGATTGAATGGCTCGTGACAACAACAAGTTTGAACATGTCTGTTGGATGACTCATCGGCCACCTGCGTCAGAACAATGGACCCATTGTTCTCTCACAGATAAGGATGATGCAATCGGATGAGGTTGTTACGTAATCGGACACCTGCAAACAAAGGCGGCATTGTTCTCGTATAATATTGCGTCGCAATTTCCCAATAGCTGACTCGACGAAATTCCCAGAAACGCTGACAGTGGCGTCGAGAGAACAAAGGCGGCATTGTTCTAGAGGAAGGCTAGATAACATATGGCAAACAAAGGCGGCATTGTTCTATGAAGTAGAGATAAGGATGACTCATCGACCACCTGCAACATGCATATCGGGTGACCTTGAAACAAAGTGCTACCAATTGTAGTAATACCAACCTAAATCTGGTGGGCAAAGTCACTAGATTGTGACGTCATCAACCACTTTCCAAAAAGAAGAAGAAGAATGTCCACGCCCATAAGCTTCAGAGTCCAGAGTCTAGGGGGCTAAGTTCAGAGTACTTCCACGTGTCATTCCTTGTGTTCCATGTCATCTGTCACTTGTCTGTCATTTGTCACTCGTCGTCTGTCACCTGTCACTCTTTGTGTTCCATGTCATCTGTCATCCTTTGTGTTCCATGCCATCTGTCACTTGTCATCTGTCACTTGTCACCTGTCACTTGTCATCTGTCACTTGTCATCTGTCACTTGTCATCTGTCACTTGTCATCTGTCACTTGTCATCTGTCACTTGTCATCTGTCACTTGTCATCTGTCACTTGTCATCTGTCACTTCCGGCGGCCATCTTGTGACGTCACTTCCGTGCAGCCAACACCTTTCACCACAGGAACGGTTGTGACGTCACTTCCGGCGGCAGCCATCTTGTGTTGAGGCGAACGTAGGTACACTACTAATCAGGAAATCGAAACTCAAGGAATAAAGCACATGTCGAATCTATGAAAGAGAATTGCACGTCTTGAAGATTTAGTGAAGTTCAGAGGATATTTATATCTGAAGATTATATAGTTGTCAGCTATTTGGGCATTGTAACAATGGAGGACATGATTAATCAAACAATAGTGAATAATTTGGTTTGTAATCCGTAAATGCATTATAACCTTTTGTTAGAGTCAAATCGACAAAGATTTTATAGTAAATCATTCAGCACAATGCACGTATGCCAAATTGTATTCCGGTTCCATATAAATTTGAAGGAAAAATACATAATTATGAATTGTATAGAAATAACAAGAGCACAATACCAGTTTGTCAGCTGAAAAGTCTGCAGTGACCCTTTATGTTGTCGAGTGATAAAACTAAAGAATGACATTAATGGAGTCATAACAGAAAAACAGGCTTACATATATACAGTATGGAAAATTTGTGATTATACGCAAATACAATGAATGTAATAAGATTCTTTCGAAATCAACGATGAACAACAACATATATCACAGCGGCACAGAACTTAATTATAATGAAATCTACTAAGAAAACTTTAATATCTCACTGATAGGTATAGATTCAATAGGCACCGACATTTCCGATAATACTTCTTTGAGAAGGTACCTAATCTTTTATCAAGATCAAACTACTCCAGCATTGCAGAATCTGTTTTCATTATTGAATCCTTACTAGATTGTTATACTTTGTATCTTACAATAACACCAAATTATGACACTCATCTGATGGACGTGATAATGAATCCAAATTGAGATGTCTTTTTCATGATCACCTATATATACAAACAATATATATATAAAACGTCGAATTCTAAGATAAGTAGCATTCTCACCAATACACAAGGAAGATTCCGATTCGATAGTGTTCATTTCAAATTCATCAACCCATTGAAATAAATAAATTTATGTAAACTGAATCATTCAGTAAAAGAAATATCAGAATAATCATATAGTTATTTTGAGGTGATTTGTGAAGTTCGAAGCAATTCTCATCAGGTCTGATCATTCATGTACCTATGAGTACCTATACTCAATAATTCAAACTATATTATTGAAATACAGTTGAGTCAAGAGTGGTGATGTAGGTAACATTGTTTATATTTGGAAAAAAAAACAAAAAAGGAATGCATTTAAGTGTAAAATGAGATCAATCCGTACATCATAGTAAGAATATCCAAGTAAAATTTTTCACTGAAACTATCGTCATTATTATTATGAACATATTATTTCTATATTGTAGGGTAAATTTTTGCAGGATGTATTTCAAATAGTTTCAAGTAGAAACTAGTACCTAGGTATTTTTGTTACCATCACCATGATTTCAGATTTCACTTTATGATATTATGTTAACCGTTCGATATTTGCCAATCATGATATCATTCAGAGCGATCAACGAATCAAAACAAGTCCACAGTCCACCAGAAGACGTGCTGACGGGTCTACGCTCGCTCATTCACCAATATTTTGGTTCGCCAAGTACAGGGTGATCAGTTAAGGGTGGCGAGCGGCCATATCTCATAAGATATTGGTCGTATAGATTTGGGAAAAAAATCATGATGAAAGTCGCCAAGAGAAATTGCTGGAAAATATTTTCGAGTTTGTCAAACGTCCGGTAGAGGGCGTAACAACCAACACCAAGTAGAAAAATGGGATATTAATAGAATTTTGTTCAATGAAAGTATATCGATGATATCATTTCCATATTAACTGACCATTTCCCTACATTTTTTGTCAAGGACGTTTTGTTCTATCTATCAAAATGAAGCGGTGGGAGAAGTTCCATTGTTTTTTGCAAACAAACCAAGATTTCTTCGTATTTGGTTTTGCATTCTTGACTCTTGCTGTTGCCGCTAGATGGCGTCAACTGAAATGTCAGCAAATTCTTGAGTTTATTTAAAAAAAAAAACAAATGTAATGGTATATTAATCTTTATTCATTTCGAAAGAGGATAGATTTCTCTATAATTCAATAGAAATAATTCATCATCTCTCTCTTTTTGAACCGTTGATATCGACTAAAATATAATTTTATTACATTTAAAAATGGCACGCCACTGCTTTTTAGCAAAATAAAAATCAGTTTTGTAATCTCTCATTAGTTGCTGACAAAGAGAACCGATTGACTTTTTTTTGTTAGACGAACGGTTTTGGATTGAAAAAATAAAATAGGTTTACATACTGGTTCAAATTTATTTTAGATATGGGCGCCCCATGTGAACCTATTTTATTTTTTCAATCCAAAACCGTTTGTCTGACGAAAAAAAGTCAGGTGATTCTTTTTGTCAGCAACTTTTAAGAGATTTAAAAACCGATTTTCATTTCGATAAAAAACAGTTGCGTGCCATTTTTCAATGTGATGATATTATATTTTAGTCAATATCTACGGTTCGAAAAAAGGTAGATGATAAATTATTTTCATCAAATCATAGAGAAATTGATCTTCTTTCGAAGCATATGAAAATTAATATACCATCACGCTTGTTTTTTTTAATGAACTAAAAAATTTCTAGCGGTGACAGCAAGAGTCAAAAATTCAAAACCAAATGAGCGTTTTTTAGGGCAAAATATGCTCCTCCATATGAGCCTAAGTTTGCTGGAATCGGTCAAAATAAACGGAAGAAATTTTGGTTTGTTTAAAAAAACAATAAAACTTTCCCCACCGCTTTATTTTGATGGATAGTACAAAAATCTCATTTTACTCCTTGGTGTTGGACGTTTGACAAACCCGAAAATAATTTCCAGCGATTACTCTTGGCGACTCTCATCATGATTTTTTTTACGACCAATATCTTATGAGATATGGCAGCTCGCTACTCTTAACTGATCACCCTGTACAGGGCGGTCGTGCTCTCATTTATATTTCATTCTTGATGACTGTTTAGTGACTTGTGACAAAATGAATCTCATCACCATATGAATTATTTCTATACTTCAGAGTTGGAATTCAACTCTCCAAAACCCTGAACCTTACATTATTACTAATAATGATCAGCCGGTGGCCTGGATCAAACCTTCAGTACGTTACCACCTCTGTGAAAATGGCAATCTAAAGATGCGGTCCCCGCATGAAAAAAGTTTTGCGATAGCAGGAAATATAGGGATTCGAAATCTTGAAGTACACACTTCGGAGTTCGTATCGAAATTGATCAAAATCTATACTCATGGATATTGAAAGATATATGAAATAAAATAAGTTTGCCTGATATTTTGATATATGATATTTTCCAGTTCAAAGCTTTATCATTATTCAGTATCCCATATGAACGAATAAAGTATGTTGCGATAATTTCAGCATTTTATTAATTCCTTACTATAATTATATACAATTTCCTGATATATGTATAATGGTATTCATTACTACAATGAATTAATTATTTTGAATGAAATAATATAAATAGTAGCCATTAGCATAGTATTATAGTAGATAGATGATATTGAGTGAATTCGCGCACAATCCATATGCATCCTTTCACCTATTCAAAATAGTAACTCATGGTGTTGAAGTTTTATAGCATTAGCAATAATTACTATAAATAATGACTATGATGAAATCAAACTTATTACTATGAATTGTGCTCGACGCACTTCATTGTAAAGAGTTCAATAATTGAAGTGTTTTCCTCACATATCGTAATTTCCGAAATCATTCGCCATATTTGAATAAGCTGCAAACCTAGCCCCGTCCATCTCCGAAGCCAGCTGATTAGTACCGATTAACGTATGACGCGTGCCCCCGATTTTCTCCCCGCACCCCGCCTCTGGACAAGTGTATTCCTGCATGGCCCCCCCGCATTCCGTGATGACGTAGGGATGCCCGTTGGGGCACTTGAACCTGTAACAAGACGCCATTATAGAATATACAGATTGTCAATATAATCGTTCAGGATCGAAGAGGTCATGTAAATTTTTATTATAAACAAGGTCCCATATAGCACTCTACGTTCTGGAGACTTCCACTTTAGGTCCAATTTAGATCTGAGCATTCAGGACTTGCTCAAGACGTACTGAAAACGCCCCTTTCTAGACGTACTGGGTACGTACGATTCCGATGTACTGAGTACGTCCAACTCTGAACGTTATCGAGTTTTAATGGACAGGATTGAATTAATTGGATAATGATGATTCAAATCATTGCATAAACAATTCCTACCCACGATCTCTGGGATATATTCATGTAGGAACCCTGCAAACATGAACATGATACAATTCTAACAATTCATTTTTTACTGGCCGCACCTAATCACAAAACATCTATTTAGGTATTCTCTGTACTGATCATCTACTTCTTTGAAAGTATCAATGTGAAGGGTCAATCGACATTCTCACATTATCTCTTGTTGTAAACTGATATATCAAAAAGTGTTTTGTAGAGTAATAGGTCGAGCATCTGCCCGGTACTCTAAAGGTACGAGCGCATTTTTCTCATTTTTTCATTCAGAATAAAATCTTATCTACCTTGTCTAGATCTTTTTCAACTATCTGAGTAAAAAAAAGCGAATTTACGTTGATTCTACGATCCTAATCTGGATGTTTCCAGTACGTACGAAACTTCCTGGCTGGATGTTCTCAGTACCTTTTTGGGGACGTACTGGTGCTATATGGGGTATCCCAGAACAACGTACCAAAAATTCTACAGGGTGAACTAGACACCAAATGAAGTCGATGGAAATCACCTTACCCCTATACGAAAATGGACCGATTGTTATCCATTTATCCGAAAATAAACATAAAACCATACAGAGTGTATAAATAAAATTTCTGAAAGGGTCTGTGACAGTTGAAAAATGATGTAGGACACTAAATCAACTTCACATGATTACTCTCTAAGGGAGCCCTCAGAGGCGGCCGATGTAGGCTTCGACAACGATTTTCATTTATTTTTTATTCATGTACCATTAAGCCGCGAGAGGGAGATGAAGAGAAATTTCATTTCCATATTCTCTTTAATATTTCGAAATTCTTGAAATATACTGCTCTGAAATTCGTGAGGCAATTTACTATAGTGAACATGCAAGAAAAACGTCGTACCAATTCAATCAATATACAATTGATGTACCTTTTTTTGGACTACGGCACTGACCATATCTTGATATTTTGATGGATGACAAAATCAATCATCTCACTCCTTTCTAACTGCAGTGCTTTTATATGTTTCTTGGTATTCGAGATATCTTACAAACATCATTTTGGTGCTCCCTCATATTTGTTTATGATTATGACGATTATCATGTTTTGCAAGTTTTTGCCTCATTAAAGTTGAGTTATCGAATACAATAGTTATGTTTATATATCAACTACTTCAGCATATGATTATGTTGTTGGTCATCTTCAAATTCATTTATTTTTTCTCGAATAAAGTTTTTTTCAGATATCTTGAATACAATTTTAAAAATAACCAGCTTCCAAATCATATAATGAAGAGCTTGCAAATCGGTAAGCATGATAATTGCGGTCAATAACTCAACACAAATACGGTAAAACGAACAGAACATGATAATTCCAACATCAAAAACGAGTCGTATAGAAAAGCACGACATTGAATTTTGTTATTTATCTCGAAAACCAAGTAAACTAATGAAGAAACAACAATTAGAAGTAGGTGAGATAATTGATTTTGACATTCTTTGAAATATCAAATTGTGGTCAAGGCCGTATTCCAAAAAAATCACACCATTTTCATCAATGAAAATGCGAGATACCTAACTCTCTGTATATTGATTGAAATAATGGTCCCACTGAACATATTCCAGTATTGATAACGTTTCAGAAATATCTTACTGATATCTGAAACCTTTCCAATTGAGAGAGAGAGAGAGAGAGAGAGAATATGCTTTATTGTCCAAAGATGCAAAATCTCATTGACAAAGTAAGTAGAAAAAAAATAACCTTGAAATAAATATCAAGACTAGAACAAGAGGAAATCGCTACTATAACAACACAACATTTTAAAATCTATTTGAACACTTAGCTAGTTCATAAGGGACACATTACAACATATTAAAATCTCTCTGAAGTTTCAGAAACGTTCTAGAAGAGGTGAATGTAATACCTCGAGTTTCATGAAACGTTTCAACAACGTCCCAGACTTGTTCCAAGACAACCGTTCTAGGCACGTTTCAAAAATTCTGTATTGGATGCGTTTCGAAAGAATTTGTCCTGGACACCTTCCATAACGGTTCTCAATTTTGTATAGTTTTATCAACTCTTCAAAAGAAATGGATATTGTGTTGAAATGAAGATACATAGACAGTAGGAACAGACAAGTTCATTAGGAACCACACATTCTCATTTTACAAACAGTTGGCAATTACTCATCACACAGATGTGAGAAATACAAAACGCGAATAGTCTGATCAAAACCACACTAGCCCAACATATACTAACCCCTTATAGCACACAACGTCCTAGGGACGTCCCTATTTGGTACAATTCGAGTAGGAATTTCCCGGACCAAAAATAAGTGTCCTTGGGACGTTCCATCCCGCACATCTCATGCAATGTCCGAGCAAGGACGTACGTCCACGGAATGTTCCAGCTGGTACATTATTTCAAATGTCCTAGAAATACCATTCCTTAGACGCCCCACATATTGTAGAATGTCCATGCAAGGACGTCCTCGGCATGTCCCTGATGAGACATGATTTTATACGTTCCATTCGGGACATCTATCGGATGTCCCGAGTAGTACATATTCTGGCATGACTTCAGATCCTATATAATGTCCCTTCTAGACAACCATGGAATGTCCCTGATGTAACATTCCTTCAAATATCTCAGCACAGACGCCCTTACTATTTCTAGGATCATAATAACAATCGAAATGTCCCTTAGGGGCATCCTTCGAATGTCCCTTAGGGATATCCGTTGGATGTCCCAATTGGTACATGAGCTGTACTCTTTCAATGTCCTAGAAGTAATGCCCTACGGACGTCTAAAAAAATTCTGAAAATTTAAAAATTGTTCTAAAATTGTTCTATCCGTCATTCGATTGCCCCCTTACGAGCAACCCTCAGAAGTCTTCGAAAGTCTTGTGCGAGCAAGGAATGGGGCCTTACCTTTCAACGTGTGATACCAAACACTTTCTTGGGCCATCAGAAAAATTTCTGCAGTCGCTGGGAATCGAACCCACGACCGGCAAGTGAATGCGAATTAGAATATAGACACTCTGTCCGCACGGCTACCTGGCCCTCAATTCGGTACTCTCAATATGTTGTCCCTGCGAGGACGTTAGCTCACACCTCGCCGACGTATGATTACGCGATGTCCAATGTCCTTCACGTAAGTCCATTGGACATCCTTGGAAAACTTTTTCAGGATCTATTGCTACGGACCATCAACTCAAATGTCCTCATCAGTTATGCAAGATCTGGTCCTAGGGGGACCCAGAAAAATTCAAATTCAAGAATAATTCGTACGTCCCTGGGACATCCTATTGACATCCAATTGAAATCTCTCAGCGTTGCTGATGGGTGTCCTACGAATGTCCCAAGGATGTCCTCCGCAGTGCTTGATGAGGAATAATGTTGGATTTGAGTATTCGATAGTTGTCCCAGGGATATCCCTCTAGGACGTCCCTAGTTGGTCCTCAAGTGGGACATTTGTGCGTCCCACTGATGTCTAATGGACGTCCACGGTACCAAATGCGAACGTCTTTTGGACGTCCTGAATATCCCGACAGGACGTTCTGAGGATATCCATGGGACATATTTGTGTTATTAGGGAATGAACACTTCCTTCGGATGTGGAATCATTCTTGATACAATATTTTGTGAATCCTAATTACCCTTCTGGGTTCCTCGACACTATGCAACTGAATACGATGGATCACAAATTAACTGTCAGGTTTACAAGAGTCTCGAGATCATACCCGTGTGTTCACCGAACACGCCCGATCGTTCCCTAAGCGGTGGGGAAACGTAAACGGGCAGCAGTAACTACGTTATGAATATGGCGCGTGCCTGAATTATTTTGGAGTCAAATTTGTCAATTTAATGTACTTCGAAACGGAACACTAGTAGTTGTGCCTTCTTGTTTTACATATATTATAGGTAGACATCAAATCAATAAACATATAGTGCTCTCGCCATCGGTATTTGCTGAACTTCGCTATGGGAAAAATGTTGGGATGTAGAATGATCTATACAGGGTGTATCTAAATAACACCGAAATAATTCAAGGGATTATTCCTTGTGATATGATATGATGAATAAAGGTCATATAAACATGTGTCCTGAACTTGCTTCGTTTTCGAGGTACAGGGTTACGTCCTGATTTCGAATCCGAAGTGATTTTTAACCTATCTTGCCTCCTAATATCATTTTCCGGAAATGTTGGTGGGTCCATGACCAGAGCAGAGTGTTTTTCACTGAAGATTTCCTAACTTTGGTCATAGTTGGTATATATATATCTATCGCTCCTTAAAATTTAACAGTTACGTTAGATATATGGGTTGATATACCATTATAGAAGTGACATGCACACTGTTTATATTTTTAAATACATCCAGTGGGATTGAATTTTATTTTATGTTGAATATTAGAGTGTGTTTTTTTATGTGATATATTTGTATTGTTTATTCCAAATATATATATATTTTTTTAGTAGGCATACTAGTACTTCTTTTATATAATTCTGAAATCTGATCCACCCTGTATTTGTTTCAATTAAATGGCATCAGTAGATAGTAAATAGAATGTTAGGATAGGGACACATGTAAGCCATTTTAATAAATTAATATAGGTATTGTATAGTTTCGATACAAAAAAAATCTCGATACGTATAGGTATACCTTGATGAGCTTGATCAACGAAATCATAGCTCAATTAGAAGAAT